TGAAATCTGGTTCAAGGTTCACCAATGGAGAATTTAATAAGATATAGTGTAAAGGTATGGAGTGAATACCTATCACGTGTGACCGCTCGAAGTGTCAACGTGGAATGTGAAAGCTGCATGCGACTCTTTTGCGTAGCAAGCGTGAATGCTCAAGGGGCCCCTGTGGGCCAAGTTCATGAACCAACGAGCAGCGGGCGGCATATATGGAAACCGCTCATGCCAAAAGCTCTGTCTCTTGTCCTTTTGGGTGGCACCCAAATCACACCGGTGGTTGTGGCCAAGAAGCTCGTCAGAACTCTCGCCACTTCATCATCTCCAGCTGGGCGCAGAAGGCGCAGTAGTCATACTGTCTCATCGTGCCAGCATCGGCCCCAGAAAGGCCTTGACAGTCCGGGTAGATGTGGTACTTGCTGCCTGTTCTTGTAGTCCATACTGACCTTGGTACTGGGTTGCGATCAAGCTCGTACTTGATGGCTTCCAGCTTGTCATAGGCAGTCTGCCATTTAATTCTCACATCTTTGTATTTGCCGTCGAGCTCCCCGATGTCACCGGACAGGTAGTCCCGCATCAGGGTGAGGTCGTCCACTTCCTTCTCCAATTCGTTGTTCTCGCCCTCCAGCGCGTCGAGCTGGTCCTTGAGCTGGGCGTTGTAGGCATCTGAGTCTCGTAGGTCTTGTTGAAGTCGTGTGATCTCCATCTTGAGGAGGCCAAACACATTCTTCTCGAGGGCAGTCTCCGCCTGGGTGCCACATTCTTTTGCGCTAGAGCTTGGACCCTCTGTTGTCATTGTCCAGGTCTCTGTCGTTGTCATTGTCTTCAATGTCATCGGAGTCGTCGTTGTAGCCCTTCCCCACATGTGCCATCCCACCATGGTCATCAGTAGGATGAAGAGAGTGAGGGTCATCTCAGGAGAGAAGGCGAAGTCCAGGGCCATCTCGAAGCTGGGCTGCATGGCTTGCACCATCATCATCTGCGAGGTGAGGATCATGTAGGCCAGGCTGTGTCGATTCCCTGATCGACTGATCGCATGTTTGCGAGCATTGGCCTGCCGTTCAGCCAGCGTTTTCTTCTTGGCGGCCTGGAAGGTCATGTCTGACCGAAGGGAGATTCGATGACTCCTCAACCGGTCGGCGAACAGCTGCCTTGCTGAGGACTTGGTGACTCCATCAGCTAGCTGGATTTCTGAGCTAACCCAGCGCAGCTTCGTGTCCATGGAAAGCAACTTTTGCTTTGTGACCATGACCTCGATCTTCGTCCGCTTGTCTCCTTGGAGACTGGGTGTCTCGGCTTTGAGGCTGTCGTAGAGTGCTTTGGCGTCCACCACCAGAGCTGAGGAGAGAGAGGGCTTCAGCTCGTCGACCTGTCGAAGCTGGAAGTCGTGCTTCAGGCATCCTTCCCAGAAGATGAGGAGGTATTCCAAGGCGTCCATGGCTGCTGAGCAAGCTTGACTCTCAGCATTCAACGAGGATCTGCTGACCCTTGGTAGTTTGAAGCTCCTCCAATCCAGGATGACATAGTCGTGGTCGGAGGTGTCATCGAGCACGGCCTTGTTGCAAAGAAGGACCAAGTAGCCTCCTTGGCTCTCATTGTTTCTCCTCACACCCCAGGCGGCATCACTCATCGCCACCATGCACAGGTTGTCCAGCGAACCTCCCAATGATCTGAAGATCAGACCAGCGTCGTTGTTGTTCTTGGCGAAGCGGAGGGTCTTGTTTGCTTGCTGGGCGACACCAACCGTGGATGTAGTGACTTCTCCACATAGAAGCGACACTGAGGCGCATAGGTGTGGTGAGGTCTGAGTTGCCGGCCATTGAAGTGCTCCAAGTAGCGCTCGAAGTGAGCTCTGCTCGCGAGAGTTGAGATCTCGCTCAGGATCATTGTCGGCGCAGGTCATGGGCTTGATACCTTTGAGGTAGTCTGCCTGCGTCATGACTGACTCGGTGGCCGTTCGTGCCAGCTGACAGCCGCAGAACTCTAGAGGTCGTTCTCCTTCCTTGGTCCAGTGCTTGAAGTTGAAGGAGGTCTTGAGGCTGTCGGTGAGCTGCTGGTACGTTGGCGATGAAGCTAGGCCACAGCCAAATAAATCATCAACGTGGATGCCAACCATAGCTATCAAGGCTTTGTTCTCGTCGTAGAACATGTAGAGGCACTGATCCAGAGGATGGGATTGGAATCCCAACTGCAGTAAACGGCGTCTCGCCACTGCGAACCACTGCCTTGGAGCATCAGCCTGTCCGTAGAGGGGCTTGATCAAGCGCATGAGGGTGCCCGGAGGAACGCCGATCAACTCGCAAGCGTCCTTGGGGATCCGAGCCCACAAGATCCTTTGCTGAGGATCACCCTGAAGGAATGCCGTTGCAACGTCAGCAGTCCAGCGCTCCCAGGAAAGCACCTCGGAAATGGCGATGATCACCTGGCGAGAGCTCCTTGACAAAGTGGGTGATGAAGTGTCGAGTTGACCTTGTAGTAGGTCGGGATCAGCAAATCCCTGAAGGACCAGTCTTGCCTTGGCCTTGAGGCCACCTTTCCCATCAGCTGCCCACTTGAGAACGAAGCGAGCGCGCATGACCCTGTTGTGGTCAACAGACTGTGGATCGAGTTCGATCTCCCAGACTCCGTTCTCGAAGATGCCGGAGAGCTCGTTCTTCTTGCCCTCCAAGAAGGCCAAACGGTCTTCTAGGGACATCTTCTTCTCGTTGAGGTCTGCGCTCTCCTTGACGTTCTTCTTCTTGGGGCTAGCGGCACCGACTGCTTGCCAAATGTGTCCACGGCCTCTGAGCGTCTTGCAGCGGCTGAGCTTGTCGGAGAGGTCGCCGATGTAGTAGAGACCAGTCTTCTCCGCACCACTGACGGTGAGGGGATACAAGGTCTTGCCTGTCCAAGCTTCGCTGAAGTGCTGCTGCTCATTGGAGTTGACATAGATAGTCCGTGAACCTTGCTGGAGCGTCAGGCCGGCGGTTGTTTGTAAGTAGGAGGGGTCAATGGGAAAGGTCTCCGGCTTGTAGGTTGACTTTCTTCCCCAAACATGGTTTCTCACCAAAAAGCCGTCCTCATAGCTCCACCAATCTGCGGTCTTGCCGAGGGTGAACTCGTGGGTCTTCTCGTCATAGTGCCATCCGGACGGAAGAGGTGTGGACTTGCTGAAGTCAAAGCTGTTGAGGTTGAGGTCCACGTCACCATCATCTGTTCGGGCTTTCTTACGAGTCCAGATCGTCTCTTGCTGATCGAAGCGACGGCGTCGATCTTGAAAGGACTCACGAGCTGGTGGTGCATAGAGAGGATCAACGGTCATAGGACCTGATGAAGATGATGCCTCAGGTGCGGGCACATCGGCTGGTTCAGCCTTTGGAGAGTTCAGATCATCATCTTCAGGTACAGGAAGATCTGCTGGATCGGGACGTGGGTCTTGTTGATCCGCCCTGGCCATTGGAGTTTGGAGGTGAGAAGGTTCACCCATAGGCTCCTCAAAGTCATCGTCATCCAGTTCAGGAAGTTCTGGATGTCGCTCATGGGGTTGACGTTCCTCCAACTGAGGTTCCAGCGGCAGTGGCTCTGACTGAGCATCCGGAGGTTCTGCTTCTGGAGGTTCTGCTGCTGGCAATGCCTCTGCTCTCGACTGAACTGCCTCCTGCATTGAGCGGTCGAAGGCTTGTTGAACTCCGTCAGGTAGAGCAGGCGAGGACATAGTCAACGAAGCGGGATGATGAGGATCTGGAAGCGAAGGCTCATAGTCACTGACCTCAGGGTCAACTTCATCTATCGATCGCTTGTTGGCCTTTCGCAAATCCACGATGCGAACGGATCTCCTTTGTCTCAGGCCGTCCAGGGCTTGCTGAGCTCGTTGCACTGCTCCGATCTGTCCGCCATCATTGACCATCTTGCGAACGTGTTGAACTCCAGCACGAAGGAGCACAGTGCCGTGAGCGAGCCAGTAGACACTGACGGTGCCTGAGTCCGGGTTGCGTTCCACAGCAACCACTACCGCAGGTCCTCTCCAGCGGATGATGTGGTTCTTGTCGGGAGCATCACGCCAGTAGTAGCATCGTTCGCCTGGAAGAAGCTCCTCGTCTTTGCCAGTGAAGCGTCGGAGTAGAGCTCGGCGAAGTTTCACGTCAATCTCAGCCTTGCCACAAGCACTTTGCGCGGCGAACTTGAGGTTGAGCTTTCGATGCAATTTCTCCTGCTCGGTGAGTTGCAACTGCAATGGACCTGTGCGTTCATCAGTCAACAGTCCAGGAAGAGCAGGTTCTCGACCGAGAGC